TCCCTGCTCCCAGGTGCCCAGAGCTGGCAGAGGAGACCTGCACGTATAGGAACTCTTCCGACAATGTGTAAGGAGCACAACATCACCGTCACCCTAAGCAGGAGCAGAATTTGATGGCTGCAAATATGAGCACAATTCCAAAGAGAGGCCTGAAAGGGTAGTGTCAGATGTCTGACTGGCTGGCAGGGAAGAAATTTAACATGAAACCTGAAGGGAGGATCATGAAGAGGGCCTTGAACATGGTGCTACAGGGTCTGTGACATGTCTTATGGGTGATGGGAGCCACAGATAGTTGTTTTTTATTGATTTCAGAGAAGAGGGGAGAGGGAGAAAGAGATAGAAACATCAATGATGAGAGAGAATCACTGATGGACTGCCTCCTGCACAACGCCCACTAGGGATTGAGCCCACAACCCGGGCATGTGCCCTGACCAGGAATTGAACCATGACCTCCTGGTTCATAAGTCAATGCTCAACCACTGAGCCACACTGGATCGTTTTAAGTGGGAGAGTCACAGCAATCAAAGAGGAAGAAAATGGTCCTAAAACTAATTTGGTTTAGGATTCAGGCAGGATAGTAAGGTAGGGAAAGTCCTTGACAAGTGGAATAAGGGAAACTGAGACAAAATAATTAGACAAGGCCAAATAATTTGAGCAATTTATAGCCAGCTAATAAATCACAGGTTTTATCTTCCCTAACCAAGGACACTTAGGAGCAAATGGTTTACACATTCCAGACTCTCCCTGGCATACCAGCCTAGGTCCCAGTTCCTCTTCAATGCATTCTTTACAAATAAAATTAACCAGAAAATAACATGACCTGTCTGTGTGCACTTTTTGATGAATCAACATATCGAAGGACACACCTGGAAAGCTAATGAATATTCTGTTAAGACCCTCCTCGTAGATTTCCCCTAGGATTCCTAGCCAGCCAAGAAAAGATTTTAAAAGCCTCAAGACAAAGGATCCACAGTGTGCTCTCACTAGAGCACACCCAAGTCTTGTATCTTTGCTCTTATTCTCCTAAATTCTAAAAGCCCCACAAGACTTGCAATCAGGGGAGCAGTGGGTAGCAGCATCTCGACCCAGGGTTACCCCCTGAACCTGTCTCCAAGGCCCCCTTTTCTCTGCCTTTCTCCTCTTATTTCTTCTTCCTCAAGCCCTTCCTTTATTTCATTGTCCCCACCTTTAATAAACATACTCTCAAAACCACCCGGACTCCTGTTGTGAAATCTTGCCTACAAGAAGTCAAGAATCTACACACTACCACTGAGCCCTAGGAGACATACTTGGGGCCCAAACCTCTCTGGTAACAGGATGAGCTGGAGGTGGCAATTCTAGAGCCACGTGAAAGTGTCTAAGGAAAGAGGAGGTAAGTACTGGTGCCCCCTTCCTTCCAGCCAGAGGGCCTATGATGTCTCTGGGTCTGTGTGTGACAGTGCAGCCAGTAAACCTTTCTATCAGGGACAGCAACTTTAATTAAGTAGTGGAGCCTTTCCTCTAACAATGTGTGTCCAACCTGTCACTAAGACTTCAAAGCAGGAAGCAAAAATGATTATGGGTCTAGTATGTTATAATGTAAAATGTGCATTTAAACGTCAAAGTGCTTGGGAAACAAATTAATACTCAAACTTCTGGCTGGGTAGCTCAGTTGGTCAGAGCGTTATCCCTATATACCAAGGTTGTAGGTTCCATCCCAAATCAGAGAGCATACAAGAATCAACTAACGAATGCATAAATAAGTGGAACAACAAACTGATTTATTCTCTCTCCTTTTTTCCCTCTCTCTAAAATCAATAAAATTAAAATTAAAATTTATTTGTATATTTTTAAAAACTTCTAATAGTGAGCCAGGACCCGTTTGGCTCAATGGATAGAGCGTCGGCTTGGGGACTGAAAGGTCCCCGGTTTCGATTCCGGTCAAGGGCATGTACCTTGGTTGTGGGCATATCCCCAGTAGGGGGTGTGCAAGAGGCAGCTGATCGATGACTCTCTCTCATCGATGCTTCTGACTCTCTCTCTCTCTCCCTTCCTCTCTGTACAAAATCAATAAAATATATTAAAAAAAAAAAAAAAAAAAAAAACTTCTAATAGTGAGAATTTGAAGGATAATGTCAGGCCAGAAAAAAAAAAATCTATAAATTAAATATCCTTTCCTTTCACGTCCAAAGCAAAATTAGACCATTGGGCTTCATTTCAGATTTCATGCAACATCAAAACAGGAAGATTTAGGAAAATATAGGTCAAGTAGTTAATTTATGTCACTATGTCAATACATCACTTCACGAGGAAACAACTATGAGATCAGAAATATAATATAAATATGAACAGCTGCCTAAGGTGGTTATAAAAAGCACCACTATGCATTTTAACCCTTGCCCTGCATTGCTAAATTCAAACCAGTTTTCAAAGGATCCCATGCTGCCTTCTCAAGTTTTCCTGCTAGTTTGCATAGGTTATTACTTCCTGTCTACCGTCACATACATTTGCACTTGTGAACCTTGTACTTTCGTTCTGTGGACGAAAAGGGAGTTCTACAATAAATCTGACAAGATCAGTGACCTCATAGGGTGACCTGAACATAAATTCTTAAGAGGCATGTCATGATGAGTAGTCACACCCAAAGCATGTAACTTTTCTAGAAAGATTTATCTTTGCCTTGAGCAAACCCTGTCCATTATTCTTGTGTATGTAGGTTAACACATCTTTAAAATGCCAAAGAAATCCTCTTTTCAGTCGCCTCGAGATGTAACAACCCTCAAGAGAGCACATAATCTTATTAACTGCCCTATAATCTAATCCCCACCTTGCTTTCTCTCAATTTCATTTAATCTTCCTTAGGTCCCCTCCTTAACTCCAAATGCCTTTTTATTTATATTTATTTATTTATTTATTTTAGAGAGAGAAGAAAGGATGGGGAGAGAAATAGCCATTTAAGAGAGAAATGTTGATTGGTTGCCTCCCTTATCCACCCAGACTGTGATTGATCCTACAATCTGGGCTTGTGCCCTGATGAGGAATCGAACTGGCAACCTTTTGATGCATGGGAAGATGCTTAACCAACTAAGCCATGTGAACCAGGGCCAATGCTTTTTTTAAAATATGTTTTTTAGTGATTTCAGAGAGAAGAAAGAAGGGGGGGGGTAGAAACATAAATGATGAGAGAGAATCATTTACTGGCTGCCTCCTGCACACCCCCTATTGGGGATGGAGTCATAAGGCATGTGCCTTGACTAGGAATCAAACCGTGATCTGGTTCATGGGTTGGCGCTCAACTGCTGAGCAACAGCGGGCAGGTCAAATGCATTAAAAATAATAATAAGCCCTAACCGATTTGGTTCAATGGATAGAGCATCGGCCTGCGGACTCAAGGGTCTCAGGTTCGATTCTGGTCAAGGGCTTGTACCTGGTTGGGGGCACATAATCAGTAGGGAATGTGCAGGAGGCAGCTGATTGATGTTTCTCTTCAGTGTTTCTAACTCTATCCCTCTCCCTTCCTTTCTGTAAAAAAAAAAAAAAAAATCAATGAAATATATTTTTAAAGTAATAATCATAATCATAATAAAACACCTGTAAATCATCATTTTGGTAAACTATCATTTTGGGAGGCATTTTTCTTAGTCTGTTGAGATCTTGCATCCAGGCATATCCTGTTTGGTTCAAAGAAACTCAAACTCTTCTACCAATTATCTACAGGCTTGAATGTTTCTCAACAAGTTGACAGCTCTTAACTTGATTTGAAACTCTTTAAATAAAGGATCTTTGTCAACAAATTCTTTGAGATCATGGGGTGATGTATTTGCCAATGAAGCTAATGTAATCTTAGACTATATTTAAAAAATTCAGTCTAGAATGAAAGACATGGTGGTGATGCCCTGTTCTACCCAAACTCTGGTACCATACTTGGAGAAAGGCTTTAACAAACCGGGGTAGAGGACTTTGAATGAATGTATCTGAGAGCTAAGGGTGTTAAGCGTGGTACAGAGATGTCTTAAAAGAAATTCAAAGGCTACCTTCAAACACATAAAGAGCTGTCAGCAGACTAGCCTTTCTCTGTCTTTCGTAAGCAGAGGATGGAAGCAGGGCCAGTATAAGGCAGAGGTTTCTAATGATTAGAACTGTTCATAGGTAATAAAAGGGCCAGTGGAAATGTCCCAGAAGTACAACCAACTAGCAGGATGTGGTCAGGGTAGGAAAGAGATCTCCACCAATAGGAGGTGTGCAAGTAACTCCCCGCCCACCATGCTTCCTTTGTCTTTCCCACAGGAAAGAACTGCCATCAGTCCTCAATGGGCATTCAATACATACTTTGCTGAGCAAATCAAGCCATTATGAGGACCAGACCAGAACATGGAAGAAGCTTGCTTGTCTTGCCCTCCCCTACATTCCACCAGCTCTGCTTTCAATGTATATCTCGACCCAGGACACTACCGCCACCGCTAAGACATCATTATCTCCAGACCTCTTTTTGCTGATCTCCCTGCTTCACTCTGGCCCACCCCCAACCCGACGCCTATTCTCAAAATAGGTAGAATAACCTTTCAAATATACATCTCTCCCCTGTGTGAACTCCCCAACGAACTCACCCACACTCCTACACTCTCTGCTCTACCGACACCAGTCCTGCCTGCCCCTCCGTCTGCAAGTCTGCTCCGACTGCAGAGCCTGTGCATCGGCCGAGCTACCTGGAATGCTCCGCCCCCAGATCCACGTACGGTTGGTTCCTTCCTCTGTTTCAAATCTGACCTCAAGCATGCTCTCCTAGTAAAGACGTGCCTGACCCCCCCAAACCCCACTCTCACAGGAGCCTGTCCCGTCACCTGGCTACTTCCCACCCGGCTGAGTCTCTCGCCCGCCCCGCCAGAACGTGAGCACCGCGGCAGCTCGGCGCCCGCCTCGCTCCTCGCCGTCCCCAGCGCCCGCAGTTGGGAGTCATGGCCCGGAGCCAGTCAAGTGTTATGCGTTTCTCCCCGAATTCCGGACCCCAAACGGACTCGCACCTTCTTCCAGGGGCTCCAAGCCTGTCCCATAGCTAACCAAGTCCTCGTCGCTGTCACTGTCCGGCGCCGCCATCCTGCTCCCTCCCGGCCCCGCCCCCTCGCTACGGAGGCCCCGGCCGGCCAAAAGCCCTCCGCTCTTCCCGCCGCTCAAACCTAAGCCTCGGGCCTCAGGCCCGCGCCTCGTTCTCACACTCGACTGCAGGAGGCGGGCCTGGAAGGCGTTGCCTGGGAGACTAGGGAAAGCTAAACGCCCACGCTAGGAGACGCCTGGGGAAAAGGGAAACCACCCGGGTGTCCGGCCACAGGGCGGGCCCCCTGGCCCTTGCCCTTTGCCCTGACTGCCAGCAGATACCCCTCCGCACCACCCACCTGCTGGGAAGGTCCCTGTGCTCCCAGATACATCTTGCATACGTGGAACCCCTTTCCAGACCTCTGGAGGGATGCACACACGTGGAAACCCCGTTGCTCATGGTGAAAGAAGCCCCAGACAACACCTGTTCAAAAGAGAAAAATAAACGAAAGATTAAAAGAAAAGGGTAAAGAGGAGGCGGGGGGAGGGGAGCGGAAAAGGAAAGAGAGAGAGAGAGAGAGAGAAAGAGAGAGAGAGAGAGAGAGAGAGAGAGAGAGAGAGAGAGAGAGAGAGAGAGAGAAATCTGAAAAGAGAAAGAAAACCAGAAAGGGGAAAGAAAGAGCAAGCAGACAAGGAAGAGGTGGGTGAGGGATGCTGAGGGCTCTCTTACTGAACCTAAAGAAACAAAACACCTGTCAAATTGGGTGCTGTTATCCCACCCCAAAATTATTTTTACATCAGAGGAAAATGAAGCTCAGCTAGTAAGGGATAAGGCTGAACTGAAAACCAGACCTAGAAGCCCAAGTTTTCAAATGAGGGTCAGAAGGCTATGAGTCAATCTCTAGGCTGTTGTTAAAATGTCCCCACCCCACCCCTACCACCACCACCCGTCCCCAGACTTCTTGAATCAGACTCTCTGGGCGTGGGGCTGTTCCTTAAATATTCCCAGCACATTTGACCTCAAAGCCTTTGCACTTTCTGTTTCCTCTGCTTAGAATGTTCTTCCAGATACCACATGACTCATTGTCTCACCTTCTTCAAGGCTTTGCTCAAAGGTTGCTTTCTAATGAAACCTTCTCTGACCCTATATTTTTAGCACACTATATATTTGACTTACTTTATTATATATATTGTCTTTCTCCATTGGGATGTAAGCTCCATAAGAACATAGGGGGGTTTTTCTTTGCTGTATCCTCAGAGCTTAGAATAATGATTAGCAGGTGGTAAACATTCAATAAATAATTTTGAAAATAAGAACGAGGCCCTGGCAGGGTGGCTCAGTTGGTTGGAGTATTGTTCCCATGCACATACTACATAGGTTGCAGGTTCAATCCCTGGTCCCAGGTGCATGCAGAGGCAAACAATAGATATTGCTCACACCGATGTTTCCCTTTCATGCGCGCTCTCTCTTTCTCCCTTCCTCTCTCAAAATAAAATAAAATAAAATAAAATAAAATAAACATATCCTCAGGTAAGAATTAAAAATAAATACATACCCACAAAAGTTACCAAATATAAAAATTAAACAAAAAAACAGGCTCTAAAATTGTTTCCCATCAAGAAGTGGAGTCCAGCCTCATCAGTGTGGCTCACTGATTGAGTGTCAACCTATGAAGCAGGAGGTCATGGTTCAATTCCCAGTCAGGGCACACACCCCAATTTCGAGCTCAGTCCTCAGTAGGGGTGTTCAGGAGGCAACCGATCAATGATTCTCATCATTGATGTCTCTCTCTCCCTCTCCCTCTTACTTCCTCTCTGAAATCAATAAACATAAACATAAAAAGAAAAAGAAAAAGAAATGGAGTCTATTTGCTCTCATTTTGAATCTAGGCTCCATAGACTAAAAGAATATAGTAAAAGAAAAGGGGGGTTGAGGGAGGTAGAGAGGAGATAAATGGAGATGGAAGATGATGTGACTTGTGGTGGTGAACACAATACAATATACAGATGGTGTATTATAGAAGTACACCTGAAACCTATATAATTTTATTAACCCATGTTACCCCAATAAATTCCATTTTTAAAAGAATTTAAGCCCTAATGAGTTTGCTCAGTGGTTAGAGCATCAGTCCCTGGACTAAAGGGTCTTGGGTTCAAATCCAGTCATACCTCAGTTACAGGCTTGATTCCTACCCCATTCAGGATGTGTGTTGGAGGCAACCAATCCATGTGTCTCTCTCATATAGATGTTTCTCTCTGTGCATCTCTTCCCTTCCCTTCTACTCTCTAAAAATCAATGGAACAAATATCCTCAGGTGAGGGTTAACAACAACAACAACAAAGAATATAATGAAAGCAACAATAAAACAATTCCCACATCCAACTTTTAAGAAACGGTAGATTCCACTTTTTCTTGGGATGCTGGCTCTTGGAATCCAACCTCCTTAATTCCAAAAAGGTAAAACTCATTCTCTGGAGCATTTGAGATTTTGCTTCCCAGCAATTGTCATCAGTTTAACTCAAATAAAATCTAATAAAAATTATATACAGGTATGCCCTGGTCAGTGTGGCTCAATTGGTTGAGCATTGTCCCATGCACCCAAAGATTACCGGTTTGATTCCCAGTCAGGGCACATGACTGGGTTTTGGGCTCTATCCCCAGTAGGAGTTGTATAGGAGGCAGCTGATGGATGTTTCACTCTCACACTGATGTTTCTCTCTCTCTCTCTCTCTCTCTCTCTCTCTCTCTCTCTCTCTCTCTCTCTTTCTCCCCACCCCTTTCCCTAACTCTAAAAATCAATCCTATATAATAAAAGCCTAATGTGCTAAGTGTCCAACCAGACCATTCTTTTGACCATCAGGGTTACCGATAGGTTAACTTGCTGCTGGGTTCCAGCCAATTGGGATTGTGCGAGATGGGCCGGACACACCTGGACAAACCTGTGCACCTGGCATCTAGTAAAAATATATATATTTTTTAATTATATACAGGTATTATACTCTGGTTTCTCTTCAGATCGCATAAATTTTTCGCCTTTTACTAATTATATACAGGTATAGAACTCTGATATTTACACAATTTAAAATACCAAGTTTCTTATAATTTTAAAAATTATATACAGGTATAGACATTCTGATATTTACACAACTTAAACCCCTCCTTTCTTATTCAGATATGCAAGAAAACACAAATCAGATGGAGTTTCCTCAAAAAACTGAAAATGGTACTCACATTTGACCCAGTAATCCCACTCCTAGGATTATATCCCAAAAAACTAGAAACAACAATCAAAAAGGATATATGCACCCCTATGTTCATAGCAGCACAATCTACAATAGCTAGGACTTGGAAACAGCCTAGGAGCCCGTCAGCAGATGATTGGATAAAAAAACTATGGTACATCTACACAATGCTACCATAAAAAAGAAGGAATTCTCATCATTTGCAGCAATCTGAATGGAATTGGAGAACATCATGCTGAGTGAAATAAGCCAGGCAATGAAAGAGAAACACCACATGACCTCACTCATTTATGGATAATAAATAACATTATAAACTGATGAACCAAAAGATAGATATAGAGACAGTAAAGCAACAAGCAGACTGTCAAATTACAGCTGGGAGGGGAGGGAGATCTGGGGAAGATAAGAGATCAACCGAAGGACTTGTATACATGCATATAAGTACAACCAATGGACACAAAACTCTGGGGAGGGAGGGCATATATGGGGAGGGCAATGGTAAGATATGTACACAGATAACAATTTAATAAAAAACACATATGTACTAAAAAATAATAAATAAATAAAATATAATAATAAAATAAAATTTTCTAAATACAGCTTATACCCAAAATGAGAGATTAGCAGTGCCATTTTCAGACCAGAAGGTGAAAGTATAGCTAAAAAAAAAAAAAAAAAAGGAGAAGGAGAAGGAGAAGGAGAAAAGAAGAGGAAGAGGAAGAAGAAGAGGGAAAAAAAGAAGAAGAACAACAACAAAGCAAGAAAGCAGATGAATTAACAGACAATAAGTTCTAGAATAAATTGGTAAAAAAAAAATAAAGAAAGAAAGAAAGAACTGAAAAACTAGAAGAAAACATATATTCCACTCTATTTTATAGGGAGTAAAGGGTAGGACAGGGTGGTAGAGTGAGGAAACTAGAAGATGAAATTGTATTTTTTTTAAATGGAAGAAATCCAAAAAAGGGGGATAACAATCCTCTTCCTAGATCATTATTTATAATTTTTAATAAGTTGTACTACTCTATTATTAAAACATATCACACAGAAAACATTAAAATTGACACTTACCTTACATTGCAAAAAATAAATAAATAAAAATAAGAAAGCACAAATCTCAGAATCTTCTCAGGAAACTGCAGATAAGAAGATGGGTTGACTTACCCAGGTAGGGAGTAATTTCATCCATCAGTGCTAACAGTGGGATGGTTACTCATGACATACAAATAAATTATTCTATAAGTAGCTTTGGAATCAATGTCACTTCCCCCCCCATGTATTTCCTTATTGAAATGCTAGAGGCTCAGTGCATGGATTCTTACACTGATGGGGTCCTTTGGCCTGGCCTGTGCCCTCTTGCAATCCAGGACCCCTCAGGGATGTTAGTTTTATTCCAATCCCCACAGGCCATGCCGAGAGACTCCATTGGTGCATGAAGTCGTGCACTGGTCCTCTAGTGTGCATATCAGATCTTTGGTTAATCTCTTTCCGCCTACCCCTTCCCGCTGAGATTCATCAGTCTGTCCCATGTTTCCATGCCTGTGCACATCGTACCTACCCGTCAAATGGTCAGTCAAATGATTGGATGGTCGCTTAGGCTTTTATGTATATAAATATAGCTCATTTGATTAGAGTGTCAATTCAATACAGGCTTGATCCCCCATCAGGGCACAAGGCATAATGAACGTATCAATCTTTGGGACAAATCTCTCTCTCTCTCATCAGTAAATAAACAAAAATTTTAAAAATATAGCAGATGTACAGGACAGTGCACAAATCATAAGCACACAATCCTAGGCATTTTCACAAAGTAAATAAACCCATGTAAAAGCAAGCAAATCACAAAATAGAAAATTTCCAGAATCCCAGGAGCAATAATACATGTGTGTATGAAAAGGGGCCACATGCTAATCTGACTAGCTTAGGGAAGGCCTGCGTGGCAGCCTTGTAAAATCAGAGACCTAGCCGAAACTGGTTTGGCTCAGTGGATAGAGCATCGGCCTGTGGACTAAAAGGTCCCGGGTTTGATTCCGGTCAGGGGCATGTACCTTGGTTGCGGGCACATCCCCAGTTGGGGGTGTGCAAGAGGCAGCCGATCGATGTTTCTAATTCTCTATCCCTCTCTCTTCCTCTCTGTAAAAAATCAATAAAATATATATATTTTTAAAAATCAGAGACCTAAAGTAACAAATAAATTAAATAAATAAATTAAATTAAATAATTAAGTAACCACAAAGAATGGTCTGTAATTAAAACTTTGTTGTTGCCAAAACCAGTTTGGCTCAGTGGTAGAGTGTCAGTCTGCGGACTGAATGGTCCCAGGTTCGATTCTGGTTAGGGGCATGTACGTTGGGGGGGTGTGCAAGAGGCAGCTGGCCGATGTTCCTCTCTCATCGATGTTTCTAGCTCTCTATCTCTCTCCCTTACTCAGTGTAAAATATCAGTAAAATATATATATATTTTTTAAAACTTTGTTGTTGTTGTTAATCCTCACCAGAGGATCATCGGAGGATATTTTTCCATTGATTTTTATTTTTTGTCATTTAATTTTTTTAAATTAATTTCAGAGATAGGCAAACATCAATGATGAGAGAGAATCATTGATTGGCTCCCTCCTGCATGCCTCCTACTAGGGATGGAGCCCACAACCCAGGCATATGCCTTTGACCGGAATCAAACATGGGATCCTTCAGTCTGCAGGCTGATGCTCTATCCATTGAGCCAAACCAGCTAGGGCCCATTAATTTTTAGAGAGAGTGGAAGGGAGAGGGAGAGACACATCGATTTATTGCCTCCTGCACTCACCTTGACCAGAATTGAACCCAGGACCCTATAGTCCGAGGACTGACGCTCTCTCTATCCATTGAGCCAAACCAGTTAGGGCTGTAATTCAAAACTTTTTAAACTAAAAAGCAGTTTATGGTGAGTAGTCATATCCTAGACTGGTATTTCCCCTGACAAAGGTCAATCTTTACCTTAACTGAACCTATTGTCTTTTTGCATCTACAATAACATATCACTGAAATGTCAAAGTAGTTTTCCTTTTTTCATGCCTCTCAAAGCACAGGCACTGCTCTGCAGAGACCATAAATCCCTTCATTGTTATTGAGTTAACTGTTAACTATCCTGAACCCACCTAAGTAAAAGTGTGTCTATCATTTTACTTTTTATCCAATCCCAGAGGTTTCCCCACTTGCTTTCTCCTGCCTTCCTAATCCATCACCAGTGGATTCCATGTAACCCATTTATATCTCTTCCTTTGATGGTAATGTATAAAACTGGGTGCAAAACTGCCATTCTCTGGAGTATTCTCTCAACTTCTGCTTCCTGGGATTTGTTGACAGTTTGGCTCAAAAATTCTTCACAGGTTTGAATGTTTCTTACCTTGATATTACTATTAATTACAGTGTTACTAGTTAATTACAATCTTATCAGAGCCACAATAATGTCTAGCCTATATGCCCCAAGGAGTGATACCCATGTGGCTCTCACAGCCAGGAAATGCCTGTGGGACTCAGAGATTTCCTCCAAAGATGCTCAGGAGCTAGCCCTAGAGTAGGCTGGTATGTCTTTAACATCATGCTTCCTTCTCTTGCTGTTCCTTTTTAATCAAAGAATCAGTTTAAAAAGGCAATGGTTTCGGGCTAGATTAAATACCAGGTTTGGGTTTTCACTCTGTTAACATTTACTTCCTATATGGAAAAATGCTGCTGGTTTTCTCCGTATGACTTAAGTTTTCTGTTTGTTTTTTTATATAATGTTTAAATAAAGTGAGTACATTTAAATACTATTAAGTCAATAATAGTACAAGTGAAACGTATGTATATGAGACAAATGGAAAAGTGACTGGAGCTTTAAGGTGGTAGAAATCTGAAGGTGATAGTGAATGATAGTCAGCAGGCCTGAACTAAAACTGATCTCAGACACAGAGGAGTGTGCCATTGGCCACTTCAGTCCTCTGAGCTTAGTCTTATCAAATGGAGGTTATTTAATCCATTTATTTGTAGAAGGGTCATGGGAATGAAACATAACAGCTATAAATTTTTTGGCTAGAGTTGAGGTCCTATTGATAACTTTATTATCATAGAAGCAGTAGTAACAGGAATAGTATTACAAATGTTAAGAGTGACCCACCACCCCCAGGATCCCAGAAACCAAAGCAGCTGTTTTTAACTCCCAACCCCCAGAGGTGATACTTTTTGTATATGTGTGGTTTGGGTAAAAAATGTTCTTTTATTTTTATTTTTTATTGTTGATTATTATAAATGTCCCATTCCCCACCTCCTTTGATCCCCCAATCCAATCCCACCGCACCCCTTCACGAATTATTAGTCTGTGCCCATGGACTATGCATATATTCATATCTGTTCTTTGGTCTGACTGGTATGGCTCAGTGGTTGAGCATTGACCTATGAAGTAGGAGGTCACAGTTGGATGCCCAGATTGCAGGGCTCCATCCAGTTGCGGGGCATGCAGGAGGCAGCCCATCAATGATCCTCTCATCAATGTTTCTTTTTCTCCCTCTCCCTTCCTCTCTGAAATCAATAAAAAAAATTTTTTTTTAAATAGTTCTTTGGTTAATCCCCCCTTCCCTCCCCACGCGCACACACACACAGCTGGGGTGGTACCTTTGCAGGGCAATGGGTCATAGGATGACTAACATGATTAAATTAGCTGGTCACCCATAACTTCTTACCCTAAAAGATAAGGGGAGTGTTTGCACCTGCTAGAGTTTCCCCATTCACCTGTCCCAGCGCTGAGCTGGTTAAAACTCTCCAGGGTTTTTTTTTTTTTTTTTTCTTAAAATTAAAAGTCCTTTCCGGGCACACTTTCTCTTGTGCAGCATCTTGCAGTTGGTAATGACAGGTGGATATTTTTGACATTTACGTGGTTGTTGTTACTATTTATTTTAAAACTTTAGGACAACTCCGAATGCATCTCCTTTTAAAATTTTATATATCTATATCTATATCTATATTTTTTTAGGAGAAGAAAACGCTTAGCTTGCTTTCAAAGTAGATTGTTTTGTTCTACCCGTGGCGTCCACCGCGGCCCCCAAACACTGCGGCAACTGGGAAGGGGTTTTGTGACTGCAGGACGGCGGCCCAGGGGGTAGGGGACACGACCCCCGAGGCTGGGAGCTTCCGGCTCCGGACCGCAGATGCTGGGACCCGGTTCTGAGGGGTGTAGTCTGGAGTCCACGTGTCAGGGGTGGGTGAGAAGGTAGAGGGAACCAAGTTGCCAAAGTCCCGCTTCGGCTGAGCTGGTGCGTCCCCTAACCCAGCTGAGAGCTTTCACGCGCACCTTGGTTGTCATACTTTCACCATCCAAAGAGGGGGACCCGGCCCCATTTCGTAGTTGAGAAAACGGGGTTTGAAGCGGTGGTTAAGACACGTGTTCGAGGACATCCATCGAGTCTGGAGACCCCGTCATGGGCGGACCCCATCTCCGGGAGCTGTCTGCACCCCCCAGGGGATCTGCCCGGGTCCGCAGCGAGGACGGGGGCACGGGGAGCGGACTGCCGCGCCAACCGGGCTGCGGCCCTCGGCGTGCGGGTCCCCTCGGCGGCCCGCCCCGCGCTCTGCTCCCCCTCGGCCGCGGCGCCAGATCCGATCACTGTCCGCTGGAGCGCAGGGAGGAACCGCGGCTTCACCTAGTTCGCTGCGCTCGCCCCCAGACGCAGGGCGGGCGGCCAGCCGGGGCCAGTGCAGCTGCGGGGACCCCGGCGCGGCCCTGAACCCCGGGCTGAGACAGCTCGACGCCGAGACTAGGTCCCGGAGGCCGGGGGAGCCCGAGCAGCGCGACCGGCGGTCCCGCTGCCGCCGCCGGGCCTCGCGCCCGGGGCGCCGGTCCCCCGCCAATCAGGAGCAGGGGCGGGGCGCGGGGCGGGGTCTGGACGGCCCGCCGGGTCTCCGGGTCTCGGGGCGGCCCCGGGGCAGCCCCGCGGCGGGGGCGGGGGCGGGGGCGGGGCGCAGGGGGCCGGCGGGCGGGAGGGGCGGGAGGGGCGGGGCGGGTCGGAGCGCTCTCGTGGGCCGCAGCGGCCGCTCAGCCTCAGTCGGCTCTCGGCGCCCGAGCCACCAGCATGACGGACGCGCTCCGGCCCGCGGCCCCCCAGCCTCTGGAGAAGAAGGACGACGGCTACTTTCGGAAGGTCGGTGGCTTCGGGGGGCGGCGAGCTGCGGGCCGCAGACCCCTTCCCCGGGCAGCGGAGGAGGGCACGGCCGGGGTCCGCGGGGCCGGAGCGGGAGGGAGCGCGCCGGCCGGGGGCAGGCGGGCCGAGCTCGGGGTGCGGAGGGGCAGGACGGCCACGCACCCGCCTCCGAGAGCAGGTGGCTTCCGGGGCCGGGAGGTGGGCCCGGGCCAGGGACCCGCTCCTCCTCCTCTCCGCGGCGCATTAGGACCCGAGCGCTCGGCCGGGGCACGGGGGGAGATGGAGGGAGCACCCCGGCGGCTTGGCGGTCCTTTGCCTCTAGAATGCTCCCGGGATCCGTCTCTCTGACTTTTCAGAGGGCGGGGGAGAGCTGTGGTGCGAGGTGACCTCGGGCGTCGCCCCCTCTCCCACCTCTCCTACCCAGGAGGGCACGAGCGCGGCCAACGTGATTTATTTATTCCTGCAAACAGCTTTATTGTTTCATTCGATCCAAACGTGATTTATTCGATGGTTGGAGGCACCTGGGCCAGTGCGGGCTTTGCAGTAGCTTGGCGTGTCCAGGCGACCCCTCCCCCCCCCTGCGCGGCCCCCCAAAACGGCGCCAGCCCGCTGAGCGGGACGGACGTTCGGGGGGTGGGGGTGGGGAGGCGCCCGCAGGTGGCGAGGCCGGGACCTCGAAGATGCTTTGGAGCCTGGACTCGGTGACACCTCCCACCCTTCCTCCTCGCAGGTCCACGCCGGTCTAAAAATAGCCCTTGGAGCTCGGCCAGGTTTAACTGGGTGGGTTGAGAGGTTGTTGTGGTTTTTTTTTTTTTTTTTTTTTTATAAGATAGATGACCGAAGGTAAAGTGTGTAATTATAAACAGGGAAGTGAAACTGTTTCCCACAGAAAAAAAAAATCAATTCTTAATTGTTCCAAGCCTAATGATCCAGTGGGAAAGGGACTTGGCATCTTCCTCCTTCCTCGTGAGGTTTTGCTTTCTGGTGGGGAGCGGTGACCCCAGGGGATGGGCAGGACTGGGAGGGGGATCAGGAAACAGGTGAGGACAGAGAGGGGATTTTTTTTTTTTAAAGTGGATTGCTTTTAGCGTTTTAAAAAAAGAGTAGTTTTAAGGTATATTTAAGTTCAAAGATGTCATCATGGAATTACATGATTGTAACTTCTAATTATGTGTGGCGTTTGGGACAGAGAATCACAGGGCATGGAATTGCAGGAGGAGGCAGGGCCTGGGAATCACTAGATCTCAGTCCCAGGGCCCGGGAACCCGACTGCCACCCCCACAAAATTGCTCTATAGCCTTCTGCCAGTTGCTGCCTCTTCCTGGGACTTCATTTCCTCCCTGAATTGTTTCTCTGAGCCGGAGGAGATCAGGGCTACCGCCCCATCTGGAGGAAATGACTGAGGGAGGGGCCGAAGCGATGGAGAGCACCTGTGAGGGTTAGGTTCTCAAGCCTTCCAGAACAGGTTCTCCAGCTGGAGGATGTGCTCGGGAAAGAGCAGATAGCCAGGGAGCCATGACAAGATCCAGAGTGGGATGTTTTTTAGATGCAGCTTCTGTGGATAAGAGAATAATGGGTGTGAAATTAGGTGAATCATTGGTTTACAATGAAAAACATGTCTTTTGAAAAGGAGACCTTGTAATGATCACTGTGCTGTATCATACCAGTCCAAAGAATGTAAAAAAGAGGGTGCCACGCTGGCCCGGTGCCTCAGTTGGTTGGAGCATCAGAAGGTTGCGGGTTCGATTCCTGGTCTGGACTTATTCTTAGGTTTTGGGTTCAACCCTTGTTCGGGCGTGTACCGGAGGCAACAGTTTGATGTTTATCTTTCTCTCCATCTCTCTCAAATCAATAAAAACATATTCTTGTGGGAGGATTAAATAAAATAAATATTTAATTTATTAAATAAATAAATAAAAGGTGCTGGCACTGAACCCTTCCTGATCTGTGGTAGAAGCTAATTTGGCCTAAAACAAAGGCTCCTTGAATGATAGGTAAAGGAGAAGTGTCTGACAATGGTGTGATCTAGAGTGGGGAGGAGGCAGTATCACAAACCTACACATCCCTCTTCCTCCCCGACATGGGAAGGATTCAAGGCTCCAAGGGGATGGGTCCAAATACCAGGAGGGACATCACCACTACCCAGCAAAGCTGGAGCTGCCGAGCCCCCATGACTAGCCCTAACCCTAGTCGGCTGTGCCCCGTGGCCTGGCCCAGCAGAAGGCTTCCCCACACGTGTATAACATTAAATCACACACCCTGAGACGAATGGAAGGAAGCCTCTGGGTGTGGAGGTTGTTGGGGGAGGTTGTGCTTCCTGAATGCTTGGGGAGAGAGGGATCCATCCAAGTGGTTTATGCAGGACCAGACATGTGAGATTCATGTCACAGAAAGACCACCCTGACAGCTGAGTTGTTGGCTGATGGGAGATGGGGGAGAGGCAGTGGTGGAGCCAGGCAGGGGGAGTTAGAGTTTGGGGCCTGGGGTTAGACCCTTGGATCTCCATTGTCTCTGTCCTTCCTACTCTGATATGGACTGGTGATGGTTTTTCAGGCAGTTATGTAACATGCTATGCAAACACAGCCTCCCCATCCATCCTTCTTACCAGCCTGCACCCCTAACAGACTGAAGGCAGTGACCCAGTGGGGAGGTTGAAATGAGGAGGGCCTGCCTGAGCAACAGCAGAGTCAGCAGGGAAGGGAAGAACTAATGGATGGGATATGGTTGGGAGGTCTGCTTAGGTGTCTCAGCGGATGGTCCTGTGCCTCACTGACATGGGGACCCAGGAGGCTGCTATGGGGGCAGGTGGACTTGAGGCCTCCATGTAGTGGTTCCAGTGGGAGTTACACTAAGGACTTGGCAGCCCCAAGAGCACCCTGGCTGGGGATGTGGCTTTGGGGATATTGTGATATTGTGAAAAAGGACCTCCACTTGAGGGACAGGCAGAGAGATGGGAGGCAATTCAGGAGGGTAGCAGCAGTGTTGAGGAAGCTGAGAAAGTATTTTTTAAAAAGTTTTTTTTTTGTTTATTTCAGAGAGGAAGGGAAAGGCAGAGAGAGATAGAAACATCGATGATGAAAGAGTCGTTGATTGGAGCCTCCTGCAGGCCCCTTACTGGGGATTGAACCATGGTTCACAGGTTGAAGCTTAATGGAGCCATACAGGCTGGGCTGAGAGAGTCTTTTTTTTTTTTTTCTTCCTTAAATATATTTTATTGATTTTTTACAGAGAGGAAGGGTGAGAGATAGTTAGAAACATCGAAGAGAGAGAAACATCGATCAGCCTCCTGCACACTCCCTACTGGTACTGGACCCTCCAGATTGGAGATGTAGTCAGGGCATCATACAGGCTGCCCCAAGCAGGCTCCCCATCCTGTTTTTGGAATTTTGTGCACTCTTACAGGACCAAATCAATTTCTACTGAAGTCGAGTTTCTCTTTCATCCTGTTCTCTCTTAAAAAAAAAAAAAAAAAAAAAAAAAAAAAAATATATATATATATATATATATATATATATATATATATATATATATATATATATAATTGATTTCAGAGAGGAAGACAGAGTTAGAATCATGTGTGATAAAAGAGAATTATTGATTGGCAGCCTCCTGCACACCCCCTACTGGGGATAGAGCTGGCAACACAGGCATGTGCCCTGTTTCATAGGTCAGTGCTCAGCCACTGAGCCACACCAGTTGGGCCATCCTGTTCTCTTTATCCTGCCTTTCCTCCCCTTCCTCTTTTCTTGAAAATACCATTCTCCACTCATTCCAAAGCATTTATTGAGTGACAGCTCGGAGCCTGACAGCGGTCAGCTTCTGGGGCGTACTCAACCTTGATTCAACATGCCTTCTGTTCACAGTGGGTCTCATTTCGTGGGCTGCTGAGCCGTGAGGGGAGTTGGTGCTTTGTCCCATAGCTTGGCCCATACTTGGCCAGGAATCGGCTGTTTGCTTTAGAACAGAGATCAAAAAGTGGGATGTGGGGGGTCCACAGACCATAGCTTTGTGTGTCTCGTACGTACAATGAAGATTAATTGCCTAAAGATCCATTGTGCTGGCTGGGCCTAGTCCCTGAATGTGTGAGACAGTCATTGGCAGAGCGGGAAGCCAGGGTTTTCTTGGAGTTTTACAGGACTTGGCTGTACAGAACCGAAGGACACAAACACAACTTGGCCCCAGGTCAGGCATGGGCACCCCTCAGCAACTTGGGCTGACTGCATGCGGGTCTTTGGATTAAAAATAAAAAAGTTGCCCTTTAGAGCATCTTCCAATATTGGTTAGAGCATCTTCCCAATATTCCAAGGTTGTATGTCCTATCCCCGGTCAGGGCACATATAAGAAGCAACCAATGAATTCATAAGTGAGTGGAACAATAATTTATGTTTCTCTCTCTCTCTTCCTCCCTCCCTCCCTCCTTTCCTACCTCCCTCCCTCCTTCCCTAAAATCAGTAAGTAAATATAAAAAATAAAAACCAGAACACTTTCTGATCTATCACAATATATTTCTCTCTTTTGTGACTTCTCACTTTTTCCTTTCTTTACATAAGTTCACATAAAGGTACAGCTCTGTAAGATTGTATTACAAATTACTTTCTTAAGAGAAAGACCAGTGGAAATGGAATGTTTTCTTTTTCCCCCTAAACATATATTTTAATGCTCATCCTAATGAAAGTCTTTGAGGAATGTTGCTCTGGCTTATGGTTAACGCAGAGTAAAGCAAGTTTCTAGCGCACTGCATCCCCGAGCAGGGCCAGCTCCTGGGCTCCCAGGTGTAGTAGTCTTAAAGCCTGAAGGAAAACCTGTTTTTGGCCAAGAGAAAGCCAGCTGGAGGAAAACGAGAGAAAGCTGTTCCCCGGACTACTGAAAGGGCCTGAATGAGCAGAGCGCTCACAAAGTGCCGATTGTCAGTCCTTATCTCTGCTTCTGCGTCCTCGGGGAACGCTAATGACCCAAAATGAATTTAGCTCCCTTGTTTTTACTCTGGAGCTGGAGGAGAA